ACACATATATATATATATATGCGCAAAGGCTACTTTGAGGACATGAAAAGGAAAATGGCGGAATCGGCCGGGAGATCATATATATGCTATATAAAAATAATATCGTTTTCGATTTTGAATGATTTCTTGAGTTTTTTTGAGATTTCTCACCAATTGTATACTATGAGATATTTTAGCATATGCATAATTTGAGACCGTACATAATTATATAAATGATGACTGCTATGGGGACTGTATATCCTATGTATCATAGATTTTGGGGACATCCATAATACGGTGATTCTGAGGACATTCGTTTAATAATGATTTCGGGTACCGATGCTAATGTACAACGATATTTTTTATCGTTAATAATAGTCTCTAATTAGGTTGGTATTCTATTAGAAAAATATTTTTTTTCACACTAAGATTGAACAGGAACATGTACCTACGGGAACATTTATCGAATGACAACTTCATGTACTGGGGAACTTATTCAATGGCATTGAAGAAGACTTTTCCCATTGATATACCAATGATAAGGACACATGTATCAGTGCATGTCCTGAAAAATTTCCCAATCTGCGGAAAAAGCTAATAATGTGAAAAAAATATTTCTGATTTGCCTTATGCAAAAAAACTTTCTGTAACGATTGCATAGAAGTGTTGACTACACTATTTTCTCCTGTTCAATTTTAATTCGTGGCCAGGAAATTCTTCATACTGCAATCAATTTATTCCATCTTCACCGCGACCATCTGCAGAATGCACCAAATCTAACGTACTCTTTTTCGGAATCAGCTTCGAAATACTCAAACAAAATTGAGTTATGATGTGGCTAATGTCAAATATTGCGGGGTTAATGATCGAATAAATTAATAGAAATTTCTCGTGGCAATTTGAGTAAAATGTTCTCATTATATTACTATCTCTCTCATACTACGATAAAATGAATGCTTCGAAAATTGTCAAAAATGGAAAATGAAATGAATGTCGATATTATTTATTTCGGCCAAAAACTTGAAAATTGAAGTGTTATTATGGGGATATTTATGAGATGAGGACTTTGAGGACTCAAAAACTTACATACCGGTGAATAAGAGGACACTATTTAATTGTATGCATATCATGAGGACACCCACCTGACAGTGGTCATAGGAATGTGGGCAAATATGGAATGGAATTTATATCTTCAAAAAGATTCATCGTATGATGATTTTGAGGACTCAAAAAATTGCATAATGGTGGTTGTGGGAACACTGTTCTTGGAGATGTGCTCTATGAGGACATTCATATAACAATAACTTTGGAGGTCGATAAAATTTAAAATCTTCTTCGTGAATGCTTCGTACATTTGTAATAGGATAAAAACATCAAACTATTAAAAGTGATTTTCAATCATTTATTTTTCAAATGTATCTTTAATACAAATGATATGAACACAAACTTCTTCTCCAATTGAGGAATTCTGAACTGAGGAACTCTTTAAGCACGGACATCAAACAAAAATAATCACAAAACAAAATATTAAAGAAATTGTACTTTAACATCCATAACGAACTAATAGTAATTAACGAATCGTCCTATTTCGAAGAATTTTCGTCGTGGAAATTAAACTCACAGAAATAACCAATACTACTTTTTGGACATTTTTCATTTTGCGGGAGCTACGCCCTTATTTGTAGGTCCACTTTAAACGCCTTTTACGATCGATGAGTTATGTACTGTCCGGATTTAAAAAATAAAAAAAAAGATCCCAGTGAAAAAAAAAGTTACATCTTCTTAGATAAATAAACCCTGCGAGTTATTAGAGCCTTCAAACACGAACACTTAACTGAATAGGATTTTTTTCCATTTAATACTGAACAAACATAAAATGATCAAAAACAATTATTTTCATAAGAAAAAAAATACTGTTACTTTTAGCAAAATCTTTTTAGAAAAAAAACAACAAACTCTGGCAGAAAAGCTAAGCTGCTTCATTGTCCTAGTATTAACTTCCTCTTTTTAATGTTTAGAAAATTCTGACTCTTTTTCTCATTATTACCATTAAAAATACTAATAATTAAAATGTTCAACATATTCCGAGGAACACACTCTGTTTATCATAATGTTTACAACATAGATAATCTCTCTTCACAACGATTAAATAGCATTGATAACGATAATAAACGCAGTGATAATCACATAAAAGAAAGCAACCAAAATATTTCGTTACAGCGTTTAAATAAAAAATATTCTCTTCACAATGGAATTTTCCTTTTCTTTGCAGTCAAAACTCCGAAGAAAAACCAACACCGCAAAATATTATCGAAAAAAAATCTACAAACCCTCTAATCTTAATTTCGTCTCATTAATGTGCAGAAAATTCAGCCTCTTTTTTTCTCATCATTATCATTAAGAATACTGATAATTAAAATATTTAACGTATCCTGAGGAATAAACTCTGCATATTATAATCTGTTCAACATTGATATTCTTTCTTGACAACGTTTAAATATCATTTCTAATGATAATAAATGTATTCATAATTATATAAAGGAAAGAAACTAGAATATTTCATTGAAATATTTAAATAAAAAACATTTTCTTTGGAATAGAATTTTCCCCTCACTTATTTACCATCAGAATATTATAGTTTTTTGGAGTCATTTTACTGTATGCATAGCATCATTCTTATTCTCTTTCCATCTAGAATCAAAATGATGTCTCTTATAGTTCTATTCATAGTAAAAAGAAACCCTCTGAGATCATGAAAACTCCATGAAACGAATTCTAAAAAACAGAAGAATCCATTGATCATTGATCAAAATACTTTGTGTACTCCTAATTGGACACTTCAAGCAATCCTCCTTGGGCACCTTAAAATTATTAAGTCTGTCTTACTCAGAATTCTCCCAATCAACAAAATTAACTTCAACCAATGGATTTTCCTCATCAATTAAAGATACAACTCTTCCCCTGTACCTGCTCTGATCATTGAGATAATCTGCACAGCAGGAAGTCCTAGTCTTATATTCCTCAGGTTATGGCTGTTCCTCAGCCTCCTCATTCATATTTTTTTATGTATACTGATATTGAGTATACATAAAAATAGAATAAAATATCAAAAATATTATTGTTTAACTTAAAAAATTTGAACTAGAATATTCAATACCACAAATGAGTAGAAGTAATCAACATTAGGATGACTCGCGTTCAAAGTTTCTTATCATAAAAAATACATTCATTGAAAAAAAGAAAAATTACTTTTTGGATAATTTCTTATTTTGCGTGTGGAGCCACGTCCTCATCTGAGCAACTGTGCGTCCACTCAAAACGCTGTTACCGTCGATGAGATCTTGCATCTCTCTTCCTGAGGGGATTTTTCCATGAGATAGATGCCCCTGGAAGGCGGATAGAACACAGTTACGAGCAGTCTCGTTCCAACGTCTTGGAGTAGGAGCCTCAAAGTCTGAAGAGGTCGATCTATTCTTCAGTGCGCTGAATCTGTTGCTTGAAGTACTTGGTTCACCAGGTGTGCCGCCTGTTGAAATACTTGCTCCAAACTTGACCTGCGATTTTGACCTACATTCTTCATGGTCGTCACCTACATCAGACTCGTCGGAGTCACTATCGCAACCTTGAGCAGTTTTCAACAGTTTTGAAATTTTTACAATGTCGGTTTGTAGCACAGGTTGACGATAGATTTCCTTGTGAATCTTTTGCGAGTGGCCCATGAAATTAGCCAAATCTGCTACTTGGCTTTCCGAGAGGTTCAGGTCAACACATTTGGTAGCAATATGCTTCCGCAACTGGGTTCCTCGTAGAGCGTGAGCAATTTGTGCTCCGCACTTCACCGATGCTTCTCTCATTATGTCGCATGCTCAAAGGTATCGAGGGCGGTCTTTGTCATTGGAGGGCAGTGCAAATAGATAAGTGTTCTTTTCTGGGATGCACGCATCGCTCCGATGCTTAATTAGGAGATTTAAGCAATCTAGGACCTCACTATCTAAGAGAACCGGTATACCACGCCCAAGTTTCCCTCGAATCTCAAATCTCACGTACCTCCTGGCGAGTCGGCGTCCCTCCTCACTGAGGGTATCGTACATCTCTTTATCTTTGTCCATATCCAGCCCACGATAACTGTTAAAATCTTCCAGATAAAGGCGTTCGATTTCGCCAGGTCTTCGTCGATTAAATATCTGAAGTGATAAGAGGGTTACTTCCGCAAGTGCCTTCCAGGCTTCAAATGAGAATTTCTCATTCAATTGAGAGAAATACTTGGCACGCTCAGATTTCACATACGTATGCAGCTTTTTGATATCATCGGTGGTCGGTAGAACTGTAACTTTACGTCGATTAGTTTGCGTTTGTGTCTCAGTAACTACTCTATTTATGCTCGTGCCGTAATCCTCAACCATCAATTTCAGAAAATCTTCAACCTTTCTCTGCTCATGTGCCTGTTCCCTCTTAATATATTCTGAACGTAATATTTCTCCAGTTTTCTTCAGCAGTGTACCGAGGCTAAAAGCTGTTGCTGGGTGTGCGAATATATTTTTCTCAAGATCAAATCCGGCTACTACTCTCACAGTATCAATAGTTGCATCATAGAAACGAGGCTGATACACATCGGAAAGGGTAGAGATACGCTTGTCACGTCGTTTAATGGCCAGAACAAAGCGTCCAAGCAGCCTTATCTTCGCGCGGACCATCTGATACTGGTGTTGACACGTTCCATATTTTTCGCACTGTTTGTTTGCATAAATAATCACCAATTCATCGTAACGAATACTGCGAACGACATCATCTTCTCGTAAATATGGAAAAATATATGTTCTCACTGCCATACTAGCTCGTGGATGTATTCGCCCAGCAACTTTCCTACCTTTAACTAAAATGATTCTTTCATTTTTCCCAGAGCGTTGAGTACATTTTTTCCAATGATGACGGAGAACAGATCTAGTATACTGCCCCTTACAGTATCCACAGCGAAGAAAGTCTTCGGCCTTTTTCTTCATCTTTTCATTGGGTCTTCTGCAGACAATTAGCGTACCTTTATTGAAACGTCGATCGGTGTTGTAAAGATGATCACCTCTTTTCCTAATAGTTGCAATGATAGATTGTCTCTCTTTGTTTTTTGGTGGTAACAAAATAAATTTCCTGACCTCACTCTCCTTACCGTGGACTAGCTCTAAATGTCGTGCCAACTTAGACTGGAACTTCTGGCAGTATAAACAAAAGTGCCTTTTAACCTTTGAAGAAACCCCGTCCACGAGGAGATCCCTATCATCGGGAGCCGAAGCGTGTTCATTATTACCGACGGTGATATTAAGCGATTCCTCGTGCTTCTTGGTCTCCTTTTTCCCTTCAACCGTATTCTCACGGTGATCACTATTTGTCGATAAAGAGTCATCGGAATCCGATTGTGTCACTTCTTCATTGCTCAATTGATAGTCTTCATCGCTTCCTGTGGTTCCTTCCTCACTTTCCGAAGAATGCTCAGCATCGCTTTCAGCTTCTGATTGGAAGTTAGAACTTCGTTGGCAAAGAATTTCGTTGTCAGCCAACACCGCGCCAACATCGACATGATGACGATTACGATTTTTCATTGCTAAAAATTTTGTAATACGTGGAAAATTGACATTTTTCTCTTCAATTTTCGTCGGTTTCGCTCCCCTTACTGAGGTTTTTACAGGTGTAGAAAAGTCTGAAGAGATTGAGGTGGGCGTTTCTTGTCTTTTTTGTGTGACACCCGCAGATTTATTCCCTTTTTCATCAAGCTTTCTCGGCTTTTCTTCTTCACTTTTGGGATTGGAAGTGGAGTCTTCACCTGCAGACGGGGCTGAAGTGGGCATTGCTTCTTTATTTGGGGTGTGGTCATCAGATATTTTTATATTTTCTTTATTGTTTTTTAAAGGGTCAATTTCCGTTAATGAATCATCTGGATGAACTGCTTCTTTCTGCAACTCCGTAGTGAGTCTGTCAAACCATGAATCAGAGAAAATTATTTTTCGTGCACATGATTTTATGTCAATATTTTCGTGATTCAAGACAGGCAAACTCAACTCAGCGAACACTTGTTCTCTCTCTTCCTCGTCAATATGTATACTTTTCGCGTCTTGAGAGATATTCTATTCCTGTGACGTCGATTCCTGCGTGCATTCCTCGAAAATATGTATCTGACCAGGGATGGCAGTCTCTTTTGGTGGCAAAATTTTCCGTGTGATTTCTGAGGGTGCCATTTGCAGTGTAGTTCATATTTTGTTACCGTTAACATCTTCAGGATCTGGTGGTGTAATTTCGTTGAGGTGCAGATAGTCTTTTTGGGACTTCACTCCATTTTTAATGCTATTGTCGTCCTCTTTTGTGGCTATGCTCTGCACATCGCCATCCAATGATGGTGAGACAAGTTCTTCATTGTGAGAAAAATCCAATGGTGTACTGCTCCCTTTGATATTGGCATCAATGATAAATGAAGGAGTTTCATTAAGAACTGTGTGCTCGGTGCCCGATTCATGGCCATTACTGAGGTTCCCTTTATCTTCAAATGCCAAGCTTTCAGCGGGTTTACACGTTCTGAGTTGCAGAAATTGTGGAATGTTATCAAAGAAAATTTAAAAAGAATGAAAATGTTGAAAGAATAGCGCAGAATAAAATCAAAGATAGTTTTTAAAAGAATGTACCGAAGAAATCCCGGTCTTCATAAACGCGGTCCATTGTAAACAAATACAGCCCTTTACCTTCATGGACATCTTTTGGAAACAGTATTTCATCAATGAAGACAATATCTTCATCTGTAAAAATAATCATAACATGAATTATCAATTCGTCAAGAACCATGGATAGGATTATATATTTATTTGAATTTATTTGTAGTGTCGGCCTCGAAAACTGCTTTTTTCAAGACGCTACACGCCAGGAAAATCACGGTTTCCGAGCTCTTCAACCAGAGTAATAATCTTGCGAACATACCATGGAAAACTTATCACCCTCCTGCACGTGTTTGCTCGGTTTCGCCTTGGTTGGCAATCTTGCACGTGGGGAAAGGTGATTAGTTTTCCAAGGCTAGCCGGAAAAAATATAATACTATTTTTCTTGATTTCTTTTTGTCCCAATAAATTATTTGAGGATGAGAAATACTTTCTTATTCTGAAGAGACTGATGATATTTTCATAAGAAATTCAAATTTATAACTTAAATTTTTTAAGATTTTTATTTATTAATTTATTTATTTATTTTTAATTCATTTTTGTTTAATTTTTTAAAATTTGCTTATTATATAACTATGAAGACTAATGTCTTCATACTTATATAATAAATAAATTTTAAAAATAAAAACAAAATGAATTAGAAAAAAAAATGAATTAGATGATGACTTTGAGGACACAGAAATATAGCTAATGGTGATTATGGGGACATTTTCTATTTTTAAGCATACTATGGAGACTCCTAGTGTGGATGTGGGAGTTAGCAGTTGAAATAGAAAATCTATGCATTTTAAACTGGAAGTAGATGATTTTCCATCCCATCTTCACTCTACCTTTAGCCTTCATGACTTTATGTGAAGCTACCACGTAATTATCATTTCGGTGAGAACCGTAGATAGGACAACATATTTATTTGAATAGTGCCGAAGACATTCTTTCCCTCGAATGTTTTTTTGTCCCAGAGAATTATTTGAGGATGAGAAAAATTTTGTTATTCTGAAGAGACTGATGATGTTTTCAATGAAAATTAATTCGAGTTTTATTATATGGCTACGGAGACCTTAGACCATTTTTCATCAAAGAAGGGAATTTGTATAGCGTTCCACATTCTTGTGACGTCACAGGATATTCTTGGATGGGATTTGGAATAGGCAGGATAGGATCCGGGATAATTCTCAATATGAAATTTCCAAGAAATTTTTACTGAAAAAATGGATGATGACTTTGAGGATAAAAAAATGTAGCTAATGGTCATTACGGGGACAAATTTCATTTGCATGTACACTATGGGGTCATTCATACAATGACTACTTTGAAGACAGAAATATAGCTAATGGTGATTATGGGGACATTTGCTATTTTTAAGCATACTATGGGGACCCCCCAGTGTGGATGTGGGAGTTAGCAGTTGAAATAGAAAATCTATGCATTTTAAACTGGAAGTAGAGGATTTTCCATCCCATCTACACTCTACCTTTAGCCTTCATGACTTTATGTGAAGCTACCACGTAATTATCATTTCGGTGAGAACCGTAGATAGGACAACATATTTATTTGAATAGTGCCGAAGTCATTGAGACATTGATGATGACTTTGAGGACAAAAAAATGTAGCTAATGGTCATTACGGGGACAAATTTTATTTGTATGTACACTATGGGGTCATTTAGAATAGCATGACGACTTTGAGGACAAAGAAGTATAGCTAACGGTGATTATGGGGACATTTTCTATTTTTATGCATACCATGGAAACCTCCAGTGTGGGTGTGAAAGTTAGCAATTGAATTAGAAAATTCATTTATTTTAATCTACACGAAGATGATTTTTCATTCTATTCTCACTCTACCTTTAGCCTTTGTGATTTTACGTGAAGCTTCCACGTAATTCGATAGCGATGAAATCTCACAGATCAAGTTCAGGCCGGGATCTTTCGATGTGCTGTCCAATGCCTGCTGTATTTTTCGCAATAACCCTGTGTTACCTGTACAACGAAATCATTAATGAAAATACCGTTTTTTCATTAAGGAAAATTTTATTTTTACGTTATTATCCCAGTCTTACTTACTACTTACTGCCAGCACACGAGCCTCGTACTGTTTCTTATTTTTATACTTAGCCGAGCATACTTTTGACTTATAAAAAACGTCTTTCAGATTGCAGACGTAGAAAATATCATCAGTAAAGTACACTAATGCCGACATGACTACACTTTAGATTATTATCAGCCAAAATTCTCGCATCAAAGTGACTGTGTACACCACACGCAAGCTTCAACTACTAGGTTATACCAGTTTTGACGCGAAGGGGAATCCCACCCAAAATAAATCGATGAAATGAGAGGGTTCAAACAAATGAATAAACTGTACAAATCGAAATGAGGGAAATTTACATCGAAGTAGAAAATTAGGTGGGATAAATGATAATAGAAAAAGTCCTCAAAATATACAAATCGTTTGTTGTTATTTCGAGGACCGTGTCCCCACATGTTACTCACTTGCTATAAGTCTCCAGAGTCACTATTATACATATTGAGTTATTTTGAGGACTGTCCTCAAAAGATCCAAATGTCTCCGAAAAATACATTATAGCAATTTATTTGTCCTCAATGTAAACCTTATGCATACATATATATATATATATATATATATATAACTAGGATAACTAATAACTAATATATATATATATACTAGGATGGCTCATATGTAAAAAAAATTGAATTTCATAATTTTCGTGTTTGATAAAGATAACCAATGACATGGAAAGTACATGTGAATTTTTTAAAAAATTTTGAATCATTTTTCAAGGTTGCGCCGTGTAGTTTTATTTCTTATGGACTTTTACACGCATCGTAGAGATCGAATGTGTCAATAATTTTTTAAAGACTCAATTATGACATCCCTCGGTGTTTCCCCTCCGTGAACCGTTCAGAGGGAGGTTTAAGAACAGAATTAATTTTTGTCTCAACAGGAAACTTATTACTTATCAAAATGAAAATCCTCATTTCTACTCAATTCAGTGATTTTCAGACGCCTCTAGCACGCTGGGTATCTGGCCGTTTTTCATCCCGATTCGGTTGATGGATTATGGAACTATCTGACAATAATTCAAAGAAAAAAATTTTCTTCACCACCAATTGAATTTGGAAAAAAATGCGAAAGATAATTCCTAAATTTCCAGTAAAGACAGGTGTCCGGCTCATGCGGTGCTTTTACAACGGTCGTAAACACAGAAATTGAGCCTAGGCAAAAAATTTGACCTGCCGAACTAACCTGCGCTGGGAGGGGACTGAACTCGCATCGTAGAACTGCTTTAAAATTTAGCTGAAATTTTGTGTATAGTTTTCATGTTTTCGGATGATGCATTCATGAAAAAATGATAAGAAAAGAGGAAAACCTTCTATGATAACTGTAGTGCATCAGTAATACACTTCAGGCGGCAGAAGGGAGCAAGGAAAATCCACGATAATGTCAGGGAGTGGTGGAAGAGAGGATTCCATTCATTAGGCCAGAAAAATTGTTCTTTAATATCTCATGTATCAAATTTTCAATAACTTCTTTTTCTTTGATTTTTTGTATTTTTTACTCTTTGATTATTTTTGATATATTGAGAATTTTATATTTCCCATATATTTGAAAGAAGTGTCAACTACATTTGTAACAAAAAAGGCATTAGACAAATCTAACTTAATCCGAAGGAATCCTGGGAGCGTTTATTCAACTCAGAAGGTTAATTATGTTTATTTCCTTCAACTCTATTTTATATCATTATTTTTCGAAACATTTTAATTAATTTCATACATTCTTCAGATTGAAAAAATATATTTTGCCCATGAGGACTATCCAATTCTCAATATATCGAGAATAATTAAAGACTAAAGAATACAAAAAAAAAACAATTACCT